TCCCTATCATCCACGGAGGCTGAATACATGGCGCTCTCCGAAGCATCCAAGGAAGCCACGTAGCTGCGTCGTTTTATCACGGAACTCGGATTCCTAGAACTTGGGGAAACGAAGATCCTATGCGACAACAATGGGGCACGCAAATTGGCCGAGAATCCGGTCTTTCATAACCGGAGCAAACACATCGACGTGCGTCACCATTATGTTCGTGAAGCGTTGCAAGAGGGAAATCTGGTGGTCAACTACGTGCCGACAGAAAACATGGCAGCGGATATGCTCACCAAAACAGTTTCCGGGCCTAAACATCGAAGATGCCTCAGCATCATGGGAATCGAAGAAACCGTGACGTCCAGAGGTCATCCATGTCTCGAGGGGGAGTGTTAGGATTAACATAGCCCAGGGCGATACATGCATGACCGGTAACGGAACCGCTGCTGCCATCTACCGGTGGGGGGGGGGCAAGGAGTAGATAAACCGATCTACCCCCATACCGCGTGTACGGGGTCAGTTCGTCCGTGAAGTCAGCCACGCTCGGGTGCATAACGGGAAATACAGTCCTCCCACGCCGTGTACATGTATATCTATATTAAAGTGTTCCATTAACCTAATGTGTGTTGTCATTTACGCATTCACCTCCACGTTGCGCCATCAACAGATTTGAAGAAATCTGCTGCCGAAGCCCATCAAACACTTTTAAAAACTTATGGTGATTCTATTCCGTCATATCCCAATTGTCGGTTTTGATTTCAACGACTTAAAAGTGGTGATTTTGATGTCAATGACAAAAAACGGCCTGGAGCACCAAAAAAGTTCGAAGACAATGTGTTAGAGCACTCAGGGGCTCTAACTGTAGTGGTTCCGGGCGAGGGAGAAGATAGGGTAGAGAGAATTGGTACAAGTTTTCAAATAACTTTTTTATTACAAAAATATGAACAAAAATATTATAACAAAAAACAAACTGAAATAAAAGAAATAATGAGACGACGGCTCTCCTCTTCGGCCGCGTCTCCTCTTTCCCTTTCCTTCTAAGGTCTTCTGTAACAAAAATTATACAAGAAGTATAATTATTTTGCGGACAAGTCACCGATTACGCGCTCGTCAGCTGATTGTCTCGCGCTCCAGCGACAGTCTGGTGTGCTTGGAGGGGAGAGCTAACTGGCAATTCAGCGCAATAGCTAGTGGACTGTATTATTTTGCTTTGGTCGGTGATAGTCGTTTTTTTACGATATCACCGACGCGCACAACCGGGTAGACGAGGTTTTCCTCTGATCTACCGGGTTCGCTTCGCAATGCCACGGACGGGAAACCAAATGGAGGTTGTAAGGCTCCAAATGGCTATATCCCGCGAGCACGCTCACCGTGCGGGTGACGTTTGAACGCCACCCACGCAAGAGGACGTCTCGTCCAGGTACGGGTACCTCGTCGGCGGCTCCTCAGGAACGGCCTGCGGCCAACCCACGCAGCTGCCTCGACAGCGATTCCTTTCCTTGAAGGAATCGCCCGGCAGCCTGCCGTGGTCCCTCGTCGGCGGTTCCCTTCACGAGGAACTGGCCTGCGGCTCGCCGAATTAGGACGACGTCCTTTGCAATTCCTAACCACCCTACGGTCACAGCCCAGTGTGGTCGACTCACATCTGGTAGTGGGTGTAGCGGTGGAAGGCCGGTGCTTCGAACCCCTTTGCTCCAGTGGTCGCTTGTGCTCAACCTTGTCACCTCACGACTGGTTCACTGGAGCGGGTTCTCTAAAGCCCGGTGCACGGTGAGCACCGCGAAGTGATACCAATATCTGGGTATCCAACTTCCGGTTGCTCCTACGCCGTATAGCTCACACGGGTCGATGAAACCACAACTCCACCGGTCGGTGCACTCTATGTGGTACACCAGACGGGCGATTCGAGTGGGTTCCTCGATCCCTTCGAACGGCGAACCACCACCAGGCGATAACCAGTATGTCGGTATCTCCGTTACAGTGGCTCAAACCGTATTCAATAGGAAGAGACTCAAAGTGATTAACACCGAATCCCTAACGTCGCAGTCGCGGCAACGAACTGCAACGTTCAATCACAATCCTGCGTCTACGATCGTGTCACGCGCGGCGTGCACAGCGATCGCTTCAACAACAGGCAGATTGTCCTTTTATTCGAGAAAATCTCAAGTCGCTATGACGAGATTTTCCTGAATAAATGAATGTCCGCAAACTTGATTCGATTACGAGGAGAGAGATCGTCTCATTCTCCTCGGAGCTTCGTACGAAAATGGGAGAGATCGTCACAGGATCTGCTCCTGATCGCCGACGGCTCACGAATGATCCGTAACGATCTGCAAGCATCGACGGCCACGGCTGGGCTCCGTCGCGCAAGCGCAGAGTCGCGTAGCGACGCATCGCGCAGCTGGGCCCGGGCGGCTACGCGCCGCATAGCCACGACGCGGCGCTGCCGCGTTTCGGCTGTCGATCTCGATTCGATAAATCGATTCTTCTCTCTCTCTCGGCGCTAACAACACGATTTCTGGAATTTGTTCTCAGAATCGAGAATTCCAGTGAAGCTAGCTAGCAAAAACACGAAAATGGCCGCGGTATACTAATCTGACGAAGAAAAAATTCTCCGTCAGCAGAACATTCCAGAATTACGCGAATTCATAATAGATGCGGTCATCGCAGCCGAGATTTTACGTCTCGGACTCAGATGATATTTAAACACAATGAATTGCAAGACTTATTAGACGAAAACCCAGCTCAAACTCTCAAAGAACTTTCAGACAGCTTAGCAGTTGATGAATCAACTTTTTCCAGACGTTTACAATGCAATGGGAAAGATCCAAAAGGAGGGAAAATGGCTACCACACGAATTGACTGAAAATGCCATTTCAGGAAATTCGTCAAGGGGTACACAAGCCTGGTCACTCCTTTAGCTGCATTGACAAAGAAGCACGTGCCATAGGCCGGAGGTAAGGAGCAAAAGAGGGCTGTACGTACCGTAAAGCAAATGTTGACGACAAGACCTGTCTCGAAGCGAAATCTTTTTAAGAACGGGATATTCTATAACACCGAACATTTGCGTCCAACGCAGGTAGCTGGGAAAAGGTCGCCGTAAGCAGACCATAGAAGCAAGGCAATTAAGTATTTTCGCGACTAAAACCGTCCCCATAAACGTAGACTCCTCGACAGCTGCACCTCACGTGCAAACACCCCCAATAAACCATACCTGCCCCAACGACAAACATTTTCCCAAAAATATTTAAACATTCAAGACACGCCTCAAGAACATTCCTGATACACCCTCCTCCCAAGCACCACCAATAAGAAGCCATCCATCTCGCCCTTTTCACTGATGAAACCAACCAACCACAACTTCACCGAGTCGAAAAGTGCGAAAAGATACCTCCGTTAGACAGAAATCAATCAACGCTCCTTCAGAGTACACACCAAGAGTCTCGCCATCTACTAGTATTCAAATAAAGACTTAACGAACAAACATCGTCTTTGCTTCTGTAAGCACCCTAACTACTTACACAATTTTAAGTAGGCGTGTGAGGTACGCGTACAAAAAGGCAAACGCGCAATTAGTTACGCGTACAAACAAGACCGATTCTGGCTATTTTCGACAGTGCAAAGCGAACGGAATTGCACACAGATGCCAGTTCCTTGGGCCTAGGGGCGATATTGTTCCAGTGCTTGACCGATGAGACGCGGCAGGTAGTCGCGTATTTCAGCAAACAAACCACGGTCGATCAACGGAAATACCATTTGTACGAGCTGGAAACTATGGCGGTTGTGCTCGCGTTACGGTATTCTTGAGTCTACCTGCTTGGAATGCACTTTACGGTCGTTACGGATTGTAATGCGTTGCATACAACGTTTACGAAGAAGGACTTGATTCCCAGGATCGGGCGGTGGTGGTTGAAAGTGCAAGACTTCGAACTCGACATCGAGTATCGGTCGGGCTCGGCGATGCAACACGTGGGTGCATTGAGCCGCAATCCGATACCAACGGTTGACGTGTACCCCGTTAATAACACCGAAGCTGATTGGGCTCTGGTAGTCCAAATGCAGGACGAGCAATTGGAACGGGTGCCGAAAATTTTAACGTACAATATTTTGCGAGCTATGTCTTGAAGAAAGGCAGAGTCTGCAGACGTCTGGAAGATGGAAAGGCGCCCTGGGTGGTGTCACGTGCAGCGCGTTTCCAAATTTGTAGACTGTGTCACGACGACGCAGAGCATTTGAGGCCCGAGAAGACACTTCGACTCATTCGGGGAAATTACTAGTTTGCAGGAATCAATGCGTTTGTGACGAAGTACGTGAAGGCGTGCCTGAATTGCACGTACTACAAGCGGGCCGCAGGACGGAAACAAGGCGCACTGTACCCCATTAAGAAGACGCCGGTGCCCTCAAACTCTGCACGTCGACCATGACGGGCGGCTTGTGGGTGGCTTTACCAAATTCACGGTCGTGGAACCAGTAAAGGACACAATGTTAGCACGTGCTGTGTATGGAAATGGGAAACAGTTTTTGACGGTAGAAGAGTTGAAAGCTTGTATTAAAGAAGAATGGTCCAAATTAAATCAAGATCAGATAAAAAATTTATATAAATCGATACCACGGCGATTAATTGAAATTATAAAAAATAAAGGTGGTACAACACATTACTAATAAATAGAAAAAAGTTTGCTTTCATTAACTTCCACCCACTTTTGCGTACTTATAATATACATTGTCTTATAGTTTTGTCGCACCTTATTTTATCAAAAATTAAAGATTTTAATGAAACTTTTTTCAATCTAATTTAATAATAATGCCGCTATGGAAATGCATGTATTTTAGTTGATTCTTCGGATTAATAACGAAAACTTTCACGAAAAATTAATATTAATAAAATATTAGCTGAAATCGCAGGTGTCTTATAGTTTTGTCGCGGGCCTCCAGTCCCGGGCCTGACAAGTTACCGAATATTTTCATTAAGAAACTCTTCACAAAAGCACTAAATTACCTATTAGACCTATTTAATTGCATATGGTGTAATAGCGTCTTTCCAAAGCAATAAAGTGAAGCGATTGTAGTGCCAATTCCCAAGCTGGACAAAATTAGAAACCACATTGAAAGCTATAGACCTATCGCTTTAACGTGTTGTCTATGCAAATTAATGGAAAGAATTATAAATAAGCGTCTATCCACCAAAGTGGGTTTAGGCATCGTCGTAGTACATTGAACAGTCTTGTCACCTTGGAATCCAGCATTTGTGAAGCTCTTGCTGTTTAAAATAGGACCGCGGTCGGCGATAGGTAACTACAGGGGGAAAAACAGCCGTTATTTGAGGAGAAAAACACTTTATTTATTTGCCTGTAACACGTCGGCTTCGATTCTCCAACTGCCCATCGCCACGGCCGAGGCCTCTCGTCTCGCCGGGGGGAAGGGCCCGCAGCGGCGTTGCCAAAAAATAAAGGAACGCGATTCCCCATATCTATGCATTTTTCACATCCTCCCACCTTGAGTCCTTGACTCAACACACCATTCTTTCCGTGCTACAGATGTTCAAGATTGATACCGGTCTGGTTTTTTCACGATACGCCCGCTTCGTGTTCTATTCTCCGTACCAGCGCAATTTTCATTCATCTCACTACAAACCGATTTCTCTTTGACAGCTTCACATTTGACCTTCGTTTTCGCCTTTTCTCGAAGATCATTACTGTCGTCCATATACTCAGAAATTTCAAGCGGGTACATGCGTTGCACCGGTCGCTTGAATTTTCCTGTGCTCATTTTCACAACAGCTACCCGACATTTGTTGTCCCTACCTTCGATCAGATCTTCAATACGGGCCAAAGGCCAATCTAGCCGCTTAAGGTTGTCATCGCCTACGAGAACGACATCACCCTTCTTAAGTTCACGTGATTCTTTAGTGCGAGTTTTCATTACAAGTTGGCTTAGATATTCCTTGCGAAAACGACGTCTTAAGTGCCCCATTAATTCTTGCTTATACTTGTACCTAGACTTGAGATCAACTTGATTAATTATATCAAGATCGGGTGTTTCTGACTCTTTTATATCGCGTAAAAACATAGCTGGTGTCAGTGGTTTTAAGTCATTCGTTTCGTCGGAGAGGTACGTCAAAGGGCGAGAATTCAAAGTGTTTTCACAATCGTATAACACCGTACACATCTCCTCATACGTGAGGCATGATTTTCCTAAAACTTTCCGCAAAATATTCTTAAGCATTAGTCGCTCCCACCATCCACCCCACCACGCGGCGGTAGGTGGATTAAATCGCCACTCGATACGTTGCGCGCAGCTATACTGAGAAATGGTATCCCAGTTCACGTCCTCAAGTAAATTGTTCGCGCCTACAAAATTTGACCCATTATCGCTGTACATAATAACAGGCCTTCCGCGACGTCCAATAAAACGACGAAAGCTGCCCAAAAATTCTAGTGTCGACAAGGATGTCACGAGTTCAAGGTGTACCGCCCGATACACTGCACAGGTATACAAGCAGATCCAAGCCTTCTGCCGTCCGCGTAAAAACAATGGTCCGGCAAAATCAACTCCCGTTATCTCAAACACTGCAGCATCCTTAACACGATGTAGTGGCAGGGGGGCTGGATCTACATACCTGCATTGCCTTAGCGCCGAATCGCTTACATGTGACGCACTTCTCTATGACAGTCCAAATCGTTTTTCTTGCTTTTAAGATCCAGAATCTTTCTCGCAGTTGACACATCACGCTTTGTACACCTGCATGACACATATTTTCATGTGTCTCTCGGATCAACAATTCGACTACCTTATCCTTATAATCTAAAACAATAGGATATAAAAATGAAAAATGATCATCACGCTCCGAAATCTTTGTTTTCAAGCGTATAAGGTCATCAGTGTGTACAAAAACTTGCAATTTTGCCAAACGAGGATCTTTCTTTAATTGAAACGTTTTGCGTTGCACGAATTTCAAATATTTTACCTCCGCTCGGTGAACTTCTTGGTACGTTAATCTCTTGCCTCTATCCGTATAAATATTGCGCTTAAAATTAACAAATCTTAACATTATGGCGAAAAATCTGATTAGTTTAGTGTAAGAGGAAAACCGCTCTACTATCTTCATATCTGTTTGACTTTCCTTACTAAACATAGCTTGTTGAATTGACTTTCTTAATTCGCTTTGAATTTCTTTTTCATCAAAATCCTCTGCTGGCTCCGGCCAGCTATTTTGATCTCCGCGGAGCCAGTCAGGCCCTTCCCACCAGCGAGAGTCGAGCCGTTCCTTCGCACGACAACCACGTGAGGGAAGGTCCGCAGGGTTCATTTCTCCTGGCACATATCGCCACTTTCCGGACTTTGACAGATTTCGAATCTCACGAACACGATTCCAAACGAAAACACCCCATTGACTATCTCGATTCAGCCAAGCTAATACTGTCGTCGAATCAGACCAATAAAAGACCGGTACCTTATCGTATTCTAGAGCCTCTATAATTTCGCGCGTTTGTCGGCTCCCGATTGAAGCAGCCAAAAGCTCTAAGCGTGGAATAGTCGCTTTCTCTGGAGCTATCCTTGTTTTTGCCGCTATGAAACGCAGTTCGACACCCTTTTCATTTTCTACGCGTAAAAATGATACCGTGGCATACGCAACTTGGCTCGCATCGCAAAACGTGTGGAGAGAAACGTCTCCAGTGCCGAGTTTTCGAGGGATAGCTATCTCCTTCAAATAACATAATTGTTCAAGCCAATTAATGAACTTCTGCTGAGTTTCGCTATCGACCGGTGAATCCCATTCCGTCTTGATTTTCCATAACTCTTTTAATAATAATTTAGGTAACAACGTTACTGCGGAAGTAAATCCCATTGGGTCAAACACTCGGTGCGCCATAGATAAAATCGCTCTTTTACTAATTAGGCCTACATTAGATTTTTTCAAAACTGCTGGGTTAATCGAAAGAGTATCTTGTGTTTTATTAAATAAAAGACCGAGCACTAAAGTCGTTTGTTTTTCGCTAAAGTCGTGGGTATACTCCCACCCTCGTAAGTCAAAACTTCCTTTTTTCATAACTTCTTTTGCTGTTGATATAAACAAATCTAACTTTTCCGACGATCTGACACTTGTAAGCCAATTATCTACGTAAAATGACTTGGCCAATTTTCCAATTGTGTCCCTTGACCATTTCCTATTTGTTATATTTTGCAAGACGTTTGACAAATGCAATTCAAGCACGGCTCCTAACAAGAACGGGCTACAAGTGAGGCCAAAAACGACCCGTCTATGCCGGAATGACTTAAGTTCTCCGTCTTCAAACCACAGAAATCTCAAAAAATCTCTATCTTTCTTATTAATTTCGATTTGCAAAAAGGCTTTCCGAATGTCTGCCAAAAGTGCAATTTCGTGTTCCCGGAATCTAAGCAAAGCGGCTGGAATTAACTCAATGAGATTAGGTCCCTTCTCAAGACAGTTTTTCAACGAGGGTTTGCCCTTCTCGACAGCGGAAGCGTCAAAAATCGGTCGTATTTCCGTTGTACTCCCCACTTTTATAACCGGGCGATTAGGTAAATAATGCGATATCATGTTCAATTCAACTTTCGATACTAACTCTATGATTTCTTCATCGCGCCATTCTTCAAACACTTTGGTATAGTTATCAAACGATTTCTCGATTTTTAATTTCCTCGCGGTTTTTTCTACTCTTGTTTTCGCTAAATTGAAATTATCCGACAAAGGGGCGTGGCCTTCCATCCACGGTAAATCTACCGAATAACGGCCGTTCTCTTGAAATCGAACCGTTTTCAAAAAATGGTCTTTTACTATTTGTTCTCTTAAAAACCTATCAGATTTTTCGATCGGATCTCTTATGCCTAAAACGTCTAAACTCCACAGTTCGGATATTTTCGCTTCTGACATAAACATTGAGACGGCTGTGCTTCCAGCGTCCTTTCGCTCGTTCGCTTGACTTTGCCTAAAATTGTCTCAAGCAGTCCAACACCCTATGTATAACAATAGCAGGTATAGGCGCTTGGCGGTTGCAGGCACTGCGTGACTTGGCCGGTCGAGCCAGCGTGCCACGACGCGACGCAGCGTTCCATTCAATTAATTTTTATAAGGCCAATTTTAAAGTGTCCGTATTTTCAAAACTTGGTCCGTGAAGGGGACAAACAGGACTATATGCCCATTTTTTTTCAGATTTTTAAATATGTCCCCGCTATAAAAAAATGACATTTGTTGTAAACAATTGCAAAATAAATAGTCAAAAAAATTTTTTTATTAATTGAAATAATTTTTATTTGATACTCCCATGGGTCAGCTACAAGTACCTAAAATTTCATTTTTATAACTTCTTTACTTTAGCAGCTATTATTTATTGAAAAAAAGGGAGCTCTATATTTCAAACAGATGTAAAACCAACAATTTTTAAAATTTTTAAAAATCCTTCGAGATACGTTTATATATCACTAAAGACTACAACATATTCAAAGTAGAACAAAATCCGACATGGTACTCCGAAAAGTGTCCGATTTCGCATGGAATGACCCTTATTCCGAACAAATACCTTTGACACGATAAAAATTATCCTCGACCACGTCCTGTCACGGTCGCCAGATGTTTAAAATAGGACCGCGGTCGGCGATAGGTAACCACAGAGGGGAAAACAGCCGTTATTTGAGGAGAAAAACACTTTGTTTATTTGCCTGTAACACGTCGGCTGCGATTCTCCAACTGCCCATCGCCACGGCCTCGGCCTCTCGTCTCGCCGGGGGGAAAGGCCCGCAGCGGCGTTGCCAAAAAATAAAGGAACGCGATTCCCCATATCTATGCATTTTTCACACTTGCGAATAGACATCATCTTATTGCAGTCTGCCTCGACATTGAAAAGGCGTATGACATGGTCTGGAGGGATAAAATCATCAGTATACAGTATTTTCTCTATATAAGCTCGGAACTCGTCCACGATATAGGCAAATATCATATCCCCTCTACTTATCCCCACTGCGTACCGTTAGAACTAAGCACTCGCTGTATCGGCGAGTATGCCTTCCTATGGGCGGTTCCCCAAGATAGCGGCGCGTTTGACAGTCGGTCGTCGAACATTGTCATACGATACGGACAAATTTTTTATTTTTCGTTTTCTTGTTTTGAAACTTTTAACATGTCTGTGACAGTTTTCTGATTTAACTAAGATCAAGTACAACATAATTTTTATTATTGTTTTTCATAAATTATAATATACATTTGACCTTTCTTTAAAGTGTATCCTCATCTGAAAAAAGGAATTGTAATTTAATTGACCTATCATTTATTTGCCGAAATCGTGAGACAACTCAGAGTAAAATAAGTTGGTTAAACAGTTTAAATTCGCAAGTTATGTATATCTTTTCGGGTTATATCACTATTGCAGTAAACGATCGATACATACATATATGTACTGAAGTTATGACACGATTTAACTAGTACATATACAATATTAAATCAACAACGAAATTCATCTTTATTTTTGTTCTTCCTTTTTTCAAACTTCATCAACATATTCGTGACACTTTTCTGATTAAAATGACACCAAATACGATATACAATTTAGGTCCTATTTACTAACGCAATAAGAAATCAAAGGCATGCATCGCTCAAGTGACTCCACGTCGGCTGTATCGAAACACAGGCGATGTTTACGCGAGCCTATACAGAATCAGTATTTCATTCTGCGACCTCTACCAAGAGAGGTAGAAGTCAGAATTAGAACACCGATTTCGTATAGGCTCGCATAAACATCGCCTGTGTTTCGTTACAGCCGACCCGAAGCGAAGGAAGCGATAGCAAATTCGGCGATGCTCGGCCGCTCAGTCCCTCTTTGTCATATGCTCGCTGTTCTTTTCTATACTCGCCGCCTCCAGTAGGCGTCAACAAAGTATCAAGAATCGTTTCTCGTCCACGATATAGCCGAGCGTTGAGCCCCGAGAGCGTCGCTTCTATAGAGACAATACTGTAATGAGAAACTTCAAGCTAAACGGAAATATTTTTAAATTTACGATCAACTTTCTTAAATCTCGGCCCATTCAAGTTCGTATCAATAGTACTTTGTCTGAAAAAACATTAATTAATAATGGAGTTCCTCAAGGATCTGTACTGAGTGTTACGTTCTTTCATCTGGCAATAAACGAAATTTCTAGTATCATTAAGGCTTCAGTTAAATGTACCCTATTTGCTGATGATTTTAATCTATTCGTTTCCCGTAAAAATATGAAAACATCAGAGTTTGGTGTGTGTGTGTGTGTGTGAATCATGAGTGGTATGAGTGCGTAACGAATGCTTGAAATCGAATGATTGTTCGTGAAAGTGGTGTCGATATCGATGGCGACAATGTTGCATATGGCGTCGTTCGTTTGAAAGGCGCGCGTGGCTGGCTCTGAAAAAAGGCAGAGTCGAGCGAGTCGTCGAAGAGACGACACGAGAGTTGAGACGTAGCGCGTAGTTATTATCTTTGTTTTGTTATATGTTTAAATAAATTTAACGTTCTTTATCTACATTTTAATTTTATTTCTTACAAATTGGGGGCTCAGCCGGGATTAGAATTTAAACCGAGTCATAGCAAAACGCCTAGTGTGAACATTCCGAAATTGTGCAACTAGAGAGTTGTTAGTAAAGTATTTTGAGAACAGAGTTTACTTAAAAGGGCTGAGGTGTAAGTGTAGAGTGAATACTGCGAGGACTAGTGTTGAAAGTGGCAATTTATAGTTGTGGTGGTCAATAAGATGGCTTCAGTAAGGAGG